AGCGAAAGAGAGAGGGTGGGATGGCGCAAGTGGGTTGCAGGGCTTAGAGGTTTCTCGGAGGGTGGCGGGTGCTCGAGCAGGCTGTGGGTGGCGACACGGCGCCATACCTCCGCGCGAGAATTTTGCGAGCAAGTACGTGCTCTTCTATGCGGACCAAAGTAGCGTCGGTGCAATTTCACAGCCGTCGCATCGCAGACACGAGGAAATGCATTCTTTCGTCTAGATTCTAGAGAACCATCCCGACGTCGACCACGTTTCTATCCGCGCTTAAGATCACCGGCGCCGCTTTGACCGGAAAAACTGCGCAAGAACCAGACTAGAGATTGGAAAGCGTCCTTTTTTCCCTTCTGTCGCTACTCCATCTGTCCGTCGTGCACCGATTCGCTCTTTCCGATCGCGGCGATCAAAGGATTTCGGGGCAAACCCGTTTCGTCGGTTCCGCGATGCCGTTCGATCCGCAAAGGGAGCCGGAGCTATTCCGAATCGATGCTCGTTACGCTCTCTTTAACGAGCGTTAATCATTCGTTCCCGATGTTACAGCTTACGTACGCGATCGCGTGCGCGGCATTCCACTCGGCGCGAACCGAGCGGAAAAGCATCCGCGATTCTCGCCGATCGCACGCGAGAACGCGATACGAGAAGATGAAAATCGATGAGTAAACACGAGCCGAGCACGATACGGGAGTTAATTCGATTAGGCGAAGAGCCGATACGAGATCAAACGTGTTTTAGATCCCCGATAACGAGCTAGAAGAATGCATAGGAGAAACCGGGAGCTGCTCCGCGAGCCGCTTGTTCTCGATGACCGCGCGAAATCCACGTCCCGGCAACGAAACGTTTATACGACAAGCACGGAAAAAGCATTCCGCCATTCGATACGAGGACTCGCGTTCGTCGAATCGGATATGGATATCTCGTGGCCAGCGAGCGGAGATCGATTTCAAATAAAGCGGAAAAGGTAGAGAGAGCCCCGCTATTATATTTGACTTTCGACTTTCCTCCCACGTTCGCCAGGTATCCTCGATTTCACCGAGCCTCGTCGTAGCCGTTCATTCCAAGGGTTTGCCCGTGCAAAGGAACCGTTTCTGCTTCGATCTCGCCACGCGAAACAACGCAACGAAACGACCGTTTGCTACGATCCCGCGGATAAAAGCGAGAAAAATCTGTTTCCACGAGCTACCGTATAATTCCACCGACGATATCCAGTGGGAGAAAGGACGGAAATTGTGAGTTTCGTCGTGTGCAACGACACATCTGTCCACGTTACGGTAGCGGGTGGATTTCGCGTACGGATGGGAACGGCTAAGAATAAAAAGCGAGCGGACAATGCGCGTATCGCGTGGAACACCTGCTTCTCTTCGTGTTCTAAAGGATACGCGTTCCGGATGAGAGGTACGCTTGTCTCCCGACAGGGTTTCCGCGTAGTTTGCCGGAACCCTTGGCTTACCTTACCTACCCATCTACCTATCTACCTACCTACCTACCTACCTACCTACCTACCTTCCGTTACACCCCTCCCTTTCCCTGCTCTTTCGAGTTCGTTACAACGGTCGATGTAGCCGGCACCAGAGACCCCGTAAAATCATTCGACTTGGTCGTTGCCAAGACGACCTACCACGTATCGCGAAATTTTAAGAGGATCTCGACCCTGACCACCGACGTACTCGCGCAACGGTCGATCGAGCTTCCCTTCTGATTCTTTCTCTACGCGTACCTCTGTATCAACCACCGTTCTCCGAATTGCTTCTCGCAGGGATACTCGAGGATCGGTAACGGCGAGGGAAAAAATCGGTGAAACGATTCAGACGAGCCATCTCGAGACGGTGCAACTGCCGAAAGGGAGCGCGGAGAATCGTTTGACCCCCGACGAGGGTGGAAGTCGCGGAATTGGCCAATTATTTCAGGCACTTTAAAGTTTCACGCGGACTATTACGAGACGGTGACGTTATATAGAGCAACGGGGACACGGAATCGCAAAGTTCGGTTTGCAAGTGAAAGTCAACGACGATGGCAAGGTGGACGAGTTAGAATGGTCTTCCGACCAGGGTCTTCTTAATTCGTCTCAACGGCCACGATAGCGAAATAACAACGTCGTGCACCTGTACCGGGAGTAGATCTTTGTTAAACTTTAAGTAAGGAAGACTCGCGCGAATTTTATTTGACACCTGATGAATGTGCTCGTGCCACGAAAAGGTAATGAGAATTCCTAGATCGTGCACGAGTCAAGTATGACGTACCGTTCGTACGGATAATGAAACGAAAAGAGGCGAGTCCTCGGTGCAGAAGGTGGCACAACGACACGAGTATTCGTCGTTAGAGCCACCGTGGAAACGAACATTTTCGCGCACGAAAAAGAGCAAAAGAAAGAGAGGGAGAGAGAGGTGAATAGGTTATGGAACTTTGGAAACTTCCCTCGACCCGACGAATCTGCGCGCGAGAACGAGGAGCAAAGAAGGAAGAACGAGTGGTCGAAGATGTACTTATCACCGATTTTTCTATATGCCAGCGAATTCTAGCGAGTGTGGAGTATTCGAAGATGACCAAGGACCCATTCGCATTGCGAAACCGCGAGTTTTCGAACGACGAAGAAGATAAATGCACTGGATACGTCCGTACAGAGGTACAAAGACAGCACGAGGAACGTGAATAAACGTGAATAAAATGCATCGAATAATAGTTCCGTTGAACGATGAATAATGCATGATACAATCTCGAGTGGATGGAAGGATGAAGCTGAAATACGGCATGGAACGCGATGGAACGGTAATTGATTCGTTACGAGTCCGTAAACGTTCGATGAATGAAAACTAATATCTACGAAACAAGACGAAGCAAACGCTTATCTTTGTAGCGCGATTGACGTAACGAGAGACCGATTGAAAAGAATCGCGATATTTGCTGGCGGCGTATCAGCGCCAGCAGGGAGGAGCACGCGCGAGCGAAATCGACCAACTGCTTAGCCGCATCCGGCTCGTTTTCGAGTGTGGAAAATGAACTTGAACGGCACTCGAAAGTTCGAGTAGAATACGCGTTCCTGCCCGACGAGCTGGGAATCGTGCCACGTACGGCAGAGGTGAAAATGCGTATTCGAGATCACTCGACGCGGTTCCCGGTAAGCTTCGATCGGCCCGATTCCTAAAAGGGTTGCCATTGATACCGCGACGCGGAAAACGACCAACGCTCCTCGACACTCGCGAGGACCTCGTTTTCATCCGACTCGCGTACCCCGGGCCGCGCGATCCGATGAAATAAACCGCGAAAACAGGGAAATACTTTCCGTTTGCGGCCATTGAAATGCTTCGCGGCGAACGTGCAGAATATCGCATCTCGCGTTTTTTCCCGCTCCAGCTTCCGCGAGAAACATTCCCCCGTATTCCAGTCCGACTAAATTGACTCTGCCCCGCCGCTGTTGCCAGGCCCGATGAAAACCCCGCACACCCTTTCTTCCCTTTTTCCTTTATTCTTTCTCTCTTTTTCGCGCGAAATTCTCTAAATCAGACGCGCCGCGCTATCAAAGGCAGGCTTTCCAGCCAGGGCGTCTGGTTCGCGCAAACACAGAAAAGGAACGCGTCGCGTCGCTTCCATTTACGGACAGAGAGTGCCGCGAGAGAAAGCGTCGAAGCTGCGCGCAGCACGCTTCGATCCGATCGTTTTCGAAATCGAGCATCGCGATAGAAGAATTCCGATCGATCGGCACGACACGAAGCAATTACAGCGGCCCGGGGCGCCGTGCTGCGAGGTAAAATCGGTATGCTCGAGTACGCGAGCACCGCTTTTACGATCCACTCTTCCTCCTCCCTCCGCTCGTCGCGATCGTAAATGAGATTCGACGAGTGCCACGGTCGCCGACAGTTACCCCCGTTTTCGTGCATCCCCGCGCACCAATGCACCGAGCGAGCCCCCATCGCGGAGAGATAGAAGAGGGTACCGCGTCGGGGTGGCTGCGAGTACTCGAACCGGAGATACGACTGGAAAGGACACAGAGAGGGTAGGGGACGATGGCGGATTACGAGTAAAACCGGCTGCGAGAAAGAAAGAGTCAAAGTAGCGGGAAGACGAGCAACTCGACGAGCAAAGAGAGAGAGAAATAAATGGGCGAGGGGGACACGGAGAGGTGACGCGGAGAAAGAGGACTCGAGTCGTCGTATGCGTGGACACACGAGGTTGTAAACACGGCGTTGGAGAGCGATGGATGGATCGACGAGACTTCGAGTCGAAGCGAGACGGCAGTGGCGACGAGGTAGAAAAAAATAAACACTGGCGAAGGTAAAGGAAGACGGAAAGGACAAAGACGACTCGCGTATACCGCGATCTTGGTTTTGCGTGGCTGTAGGAATTTCAAGCATCTGGTTGCCCTACGAATACGGTGGTGCGTCGCGGCGTCGTCCGTCATCGTCACCGACGTCCGGATGCGGTACTCGGTGGCGCCTGTTACCCCACGAGGTCTCCGATAGCGGTAAAAGCAAACAGCTTGACGCGTATAATCGCGGCGCGAAGGAGAAGGAGAATAACAAAAGAGGAATCGCGTTTCAAGGCGTGTACCGGTTTCCCTAACGATATTTTCTTACGACGTGCCCTACTCGATTCCAGGAACTCGCGCGACGGGACCCGTGGCGTCGTCGGGGCCACGAATCGCTCCAAAAACGGAATATACGTGGTTCACCGTGGTTAGAGAACGAAAGTGGCATCGAGCCTCTCCCTCTCTCTCTCTCTCCGATCTCTTGAATGAATCGAGTCTCAACCATGGCACAGATACGACGCACTTACTCAGCGTGCCGCACGTGCCTGTTGTGCATACGTAATGCGTATTGACACGTCGAGTGACAGCACGCGGGCCGAGTCACGTTGCGAGCCACTCGTCCAATCGATACACCGAGAACATCGGGGGAGCACCGACGATCTCGTCCTCGAATCGACTCGAATCGATTCGAATCCGATACGACACGCGGGGGTAATAAACGAGTAAAGGGGGAAGAAAAGAGAAAGAATATCAGACTCACCGGCTATGGCGACGAACAGGAAGAATATCCACGTATCCATGAGTATGCCGGCGAGGCGTAGCTGGAAGTTGCTGGCTGCGTACGCGAACTTGTCCATCACGCTCCAGGATGCATAGTGTGTCGAGTGTGTGCGTGGCTGCGTGCGTGTGTGTGGTTGGTCAGGTACGTAGCTTCTGGCTCCGATTCACCGTCGATCCCACGACGTCGATCGTAGCACGGAATATCACCCACTGTCCGCGTATTCCAGTCGCCGTATATACACTGGCCGGAAAAGTCGATGAAACACCGAGAGACGGAGAGTCTCGTGTCGCGTCGTCTCACCAGCGCGGAACGTGTCCTGACACTGTCCTTCGGCTTCCTACGAGTCTCCCACGGAGCAGAAGCAGCAGCAGCATCGTCTTTTGTGCGTGTCGGAATCGACACCGAGAGTAGAAGAGGAGGAGGAAAAGGAGGAGGAGGAGGAGGAGGAGGAGGAGGAGGAGGAGAAGGAGGAAGAGAAGAAGAAGAAGAAGGCAGACCGCGGCTGATTCCGGCCGAGAACGCTACCAACTAGGCAGCGATCGTACCGCGTATCTTCTTTGGCCGAACGATGCGACGAGATACGAGACGATGGGATGCGCGCGGCCGCTGCCTCGCACGCGTGTCCTCCTCTATCGTGCGTGTGCTACGTTTCCGTGTGCGTGCGTGTCGTACGTATCATCCGCGTCCGTTCGCGCGAGCAGTGTCACGGCGAGAATAGATCGGCCGGTCCTCCGACGACTGGCGTCCCTTTGCGGACGACGCTCGGCACGGCTGCTCCTCGTACGAGTAGAAGAACGACTACGCGGTTCGAGACGCGAAAGACACGAATCCGTAGCGAGAGTCGCCGCTTCCGAGTGACGGCGTGCACGAGAGTACGGGGCGACCGTCGTCGTGTGCTCTCACCACCGCGTTGCCCGGAGTATTGACCGACTCGGCTCGGCTCGGCTCGGCTCGACACACGGTGCGCCGCTCTGCGGCTCGGACCAGACGAGGAGAGATGCGGAGGGGGCGCCTGCTCTCTCACGACTACCATACGACTGATCCTACTCCGGCTGCGCGCGCACTTCGGCTCGCGTACGCTCTCGCGGCTCCGTCGAACGACCTATGGATATGGCCCGATGCACACCGAGCGGTGCGCGACGCCGCCGTTGCGATCTCGCCGCGGTGACGTTGCGCGCTGCCGCAAATCAACGGAACGCGACGTGTCGTCGCGACGCGTCCTTACGATGTCGTAACGGTAACGCCGTCGTTTTTCCACCACGCTCTGCAAACGCGTAAAAACCCGAAAAAACGCCTAATTTTATCGTCCTTGTAGAAGAGAGCCGAACTCTAATAGGTATTTATGCAGCGAAAAAGAAATTATCTCTGTATATTATGTATATATGTAAATATTTTGCATATACTTTGTAGCGAGAAGATAACGACAAATTTTTCGATTTTTCCGTACGTCGATGAAATCTTTCCACCAACTAGCTGTAAAAGTTTGTTACGTTTCTTTTATTAACTTGATCGAAACATTTCTTGGAATATATCGCGAATATATTAATTAATAATGACCAAACGGTAACGGTAACGGTAAAATAATAACGTTAACGACTTCCTAGAAACGAAGGAATAATAAACAGTCGAGGAATATTGTAATTAGAGATGTAATAGAAATAAAGTAAAAAGACGAAGAAAGGAAATATCTATCGAAAACTATCATTACCGGCGAGGTGTTTTGCATACTAAAAGATAATTCTTGAAATTTAATTTGCGAGGAATCTGATTGGAATCTTGATTGCGAAAGTGTTGCGTATCCGTGAAGATGGCTGAATGATCTGTGTATAAATGTCACTGCGATTAGGTGGATGTGTTTAAGATGTATTTTGCAGTCTTACGCGGTCTTATTAATTTCGTAATTCCTCTCGCTGGTTTACGAAAAAAGAATTTTCAAGCGAGCTCGAGAGCTCGCCGTTTCGCGAAACGTGCATTTGAAATATTATCAAGTAAACCCGAGATTTTCCACAAATCTCGTTGAGTGTAAAATTATCTTTCTCTTTGCACGAATGTTTCCCTCGCGATTTTATTTTAAACAGAAAAGACTATCAGCTTGAAGAACTGTTAGCCATAAATGGTTTCCACGAAGCTGGAAATTGTACCACGTCAAAGCAAGGATTTTCAATTGTAATAAATCAAATAAGAAATACTTTTGCCGATGTATTCTTTCTCGGTGAATGCGTTATGCTTGTATATATTTGATCGTTTGTTGCTTGGGAATTTTTCCTCCCCATCGGGCTAAATATATACAGATCGTAGGACGATCGCAAAATAGATTTCTTCCACGAACTCCGATGCATAAATGCGGCCATAATAACGAATTACCTATTCAGCGACTCTCAAAGATAGGAGACACGTCGATGATATCCCCGGCCTGTCCAAAAACTACTAATAGCCATATCGATCACCCGGCACTGTACTCGAGTAAATCCATATCCACGTTAATTACGGAATACCGAAATAATTTTTCCCTGCATTGTTACCGTAACGTGTCGTATAATTCCGTGTATCGTTGACAAAAGCAGATCGTACGTCACCGCAACGGAATCGCCATTACGTCGAACGAGTACGCGTGGCACGATTAGAAACGCGGATCCGCCGAATCGCAGAATGTGACCGCAGCTGCGTCGGGTCTATACCTACGACACGTTCCGTGCCAATTCAACCGTTCCATGGGCCTTGGACTTCTTTTCTATTTTTTTCTCCCTTTTCCACCTCTTGTTTACCCTCTGCCTACAGACCCGTCGTATTTCTTCGGCAACGCGTTCCACGGGTAAACAAACGAACCACCGCGGGCTGGCTACGCGTTCACGAGCCCAGCTCCGAATATTTTCCGCTCCGAGCCGACCCGATACGAGCCCCCGGGTCCCGTCACTCGTGGAAACGGATTTTCCGCCATCGCGAAACGCCATTCCCATAGTCGATTATAAATATCGTTGCAAAAATACGCGGCTCCTATCGCGAATGGAAAAGGGGCGTGTAATAGGGCAAATGACTTGCAGCGCGGCTGTGGATCGAGTGTTCTCTGGCAATGAAAAATGCCGCAATATCGCGATAACGCGCGTTATCGTTATACCCCGAAGAAGTACCGTCCGGATGAAAAAGAAGGATCCCACGACGCTGACGCAACCAAGTGTCGCCGCTGTTACTCATCGTGCGTGCTACATCTCGTCACCTAAACGTAACGAGAACGCCCTTCTTGGCGAGTTACCAAGAGAGACCGACCAGCGAATCGATTAAATATTTAAACGAAAGATAAACAAAGTCGCGACACTGAAATCGAAGGATCTCGAAAGTGTCCGTTCTGTTTCGAGGAAAGAAACGCGACCTGGGTCGCAGAAACGTTTTCGTTCTCGCGAAAGAACGTGTGGGAACACGAGGAAACGTACGCGAATGGTCCTGGAGAGGTTGACACAGGGAAATTCGACGATAAGCACGGTAAACGTTCGACGGTAGTTTTATTCGACGATCGATCCTCGATACTGCCTCGTCTACCGTGGAGAGATTCGATCGGGTCGAGAACAGCTCGACGCCTTCCGGACTTAAGAAAGAGATCTATAGGCCGGATAAGGATCCGAGCGAGATCCAGCAGGTTGTTCCACGTGGAACCGAGGACCTCGATCCCGGAGCGTTCAACCCCGGGACTTTCTTCGTCACTTTCCGGGATAGGTAATATTCCTGGCGAAAAAGTAGACGCGGTGGTAAAGGAACGAGCGCGATTTTATCTTCGCGAAACTATCGAGCCGTGAGTCGCTGCCCCCGCGACAATGGCGTCGTGTGGTGGTTAGTCGCACGCGACCCACCGAGCCGGGCTAACAACCGGCATAGAACCGCTCAGCGGGGTGCTTTTGTTTAACCGAGGCGTTTATTAATCAATTGCATACCCTCCGCTCGTAAGCATTGCGCATTTCACCGTCAAATGCTTTTTTTCTGCCTCTCAATGGAGGGCCACTCGGGACGCATCCTTTGATCTGTCCGGAGGGAACGTCTTGTAACGAGCGGCTGGCAAATTCGAAGAGACGCAATATCCGCGTACAATGTAATTTGCTGTACACGGCCAATGGAACGAAACACGGTATTCCAGCGCCGTGCTTCCAATTACAACCGAGCACGACGACGATATTACTCGTTGCACGTACTCCACTCGACTCGAACGAGTTTCTTCGAGGAGACCTCTAACACGCTCTCGCGCTATTCTCCGCTTTTGCCCGGCTACCGCTAACACCTGTAATTCCATTGCAAATGTCACCGTGTAAAACGTCCAACGTATACAACGCGTAGCACGGTCGAGAAACGTTTCGGCGATTCGAAGATTCATCGTCGGAGTATCGCGATAGGTATCGAAGAACTCTAGACGAGCAGGCTGTTTCCACGCAGCTGCAACGCTTCGAACGCTTCCGCGCGTTACGATGCTCCGATTTACGCTAATGGGCCTATCGCGACGATAGCTCGATTCGTTTCACTGTGCATAGCGAGTAGAACGAGCGCGTTCGCACGAGTCGCTGGATAAACGGTAATAAACGCACGGGCCTCGCGTAAACGAACCTAACGCGTCAATTATGAATGGGGTCGCGATATCAAAGGAAAGCTCGAAAGTAAATTACCCACCGTGATCTCGCGGTTGCGCAACGCCAGTGTGTACGCGCGTTGCGTTCGAGCGAATAATTACACGAACGAAGGAATATCATCGTCGGGACGCAGAAGTTAACGATGCTCGGGGCTCGCGCGGATTGAAGCCGCGTAATCGGCGTTAATCGGCGATAATTAAAGCGAACCCGAACCGGCAGTGAGTGTTTTTAGGATTAGGTTTAATGGGTAGAAGACGACGTCGTCTCGCGAAAGCAAATCCGGGAATCTCGGATACGCCGGGCAAGAACGATTCGGGGTATTAACTCCTCTTAAATCGCGCAAGATGGTGTGCGAGTTTCGAATAATTCCGTCCAGCCAATTGCTCCCGGAATCGTCGCGTCTGTTCGCGTAATTGAACTTTTTTCCTTTCAACGTTGAACCGCGATAATCCTCGGCAAAATTGCTTCTCGATTCGCTTGATTTTCAGCGATCGTCCAACCACGCCTGGTTCGATTTCGGGTCGTGAAATTGATAGGCCAGACAATTTTCTTTTCTCTTTTCCTTTTTTTTTTTTTTTTCATTTTTCCTTTTTTTCTTGCAAACACGTGTCCATAATTTATTATCAATTGTATACTCCATACAGTGACCTGCACAAGTAGCGACACGCACACACGCACTCGCACGCATACGTCCAACGAAAAAAATATACATACGCCCGCGACGCGTCTACGTGTACGCATACAGAGATTACGTTTATCGGTGTGTACGTATTGCGTCACGTGCACGCGCGTCAAGCATACATACATATTTGTTTTTACACATATATAACGTATTTGTGTCGGTACCTCTCGCTTTTTTTTTTTTTTCGTCGCTATCTATAGGACAAGAACGGTGGAAACGATCGTACTCCATCTTATTAAACTTATTACTCTCTTATTATGCGTAGTTCATTGTTTCCTGTGCGTCATTATACGATGTTCTCTGTTTCCTTTCTGTTAAAGAATTAACGATAATAGCTATACTGATGTGCGGTATTCGAATGTAGTAACTAGTAAATACTGGGAGGAAACGAGGACGAAGTCAGGGAGTTGCGAATATCCTATTTCGCTCCGTTCGGCTGTGTAACGATGATTTAATTAACGATATCGTTGGTCGTTTCACTGTATAATGAACATTCGCTCGTATGTCTCTTCTCGATCGATCCGTTCTCGACCGATCGTTCGATACTATCGAGCACGCAAATTCGAAGACTCGAACGTACTCTCGATTGGCAGATGAAAGAAAGACGTTATTCCGACTGACTTCGATTGCTCGCACAACCACAGCATTCGCTATTTTTGTCGTGTCTTCTCCACTTCGGTATCACAATGATTCGACGTATTGACTATTTCATAGATAACCTTCTTGCCTTCCCTTTCAAATGTTCTACAAATGCGTAGACGCG